AATTCGCAGGCGCACCTGAGTGTGGGGCTGTCCTGTCTCATTCCTGCGGCACATGCTCAAGCTTTTCTCTTACTTTGTTTGTTATTTTCCTTCCAATCCATTGTTGCCCGGGCAGGTGCACTACATACAATTGCTATTTCCGACTGGTTACGAGTGTGATTCGAAGTTTCTTTGAACTATGCATGTTACATGTACACCCAGTAACTATAGTTCTATTTCTTAGCAGAACTAACATTGTGAAGCAAATTCCAGACCATGGCCACAGGAGTCGGGTTCCTTTGATTGTTAAACAGTTTACACATTATTTTTCAGCCGGACCAGACCGCCCAAAAAACGGATTTCGAACTCGCTCTACGGTCAGGATCGAGTGATGCCACCGCTCTTGGCGGGCATTGAGGACAAGAAATGGAAGGTGAAAGCCGGATGCATTCAGGCGCGAGACCCAGTAGAGACGAGAATTATACAGCCACGGTCACCCGTGTACAGCCAGGTCCTGCTGCCGGCTTTGAAGCAGATGGAGGGCAGCACTTCTCTCCAATTGGCCAATTGCCTTCCAACCATTGTCTCCAAGTTGGCCGAGGCACAGGAAGCTACCAGTAAGAACGGGCATCGCTACTAGGAGCAAGGACGCCACTAGTAGCTCCTGGCCTTACTACAAGGAACAAGAAGCTACTAGTAACAAGGGCATCGCTACTAGTAAGAAGAAGCTACTAGTAGTTCCTGGCCTTACTACTAGGAACAGCCGGGCGCAGAAAAAATCTGAGTGCACCACCAGGACAAAGTAGGGATGTGCTTTTTCGGACCCCTAAGTATCCCTGCCCACTAAAAATGTATTGGAAACCGTTCTATCTATTTGGGGACCACTATAGAGTTGGTGACTCAGTCTGACGAAGTGAGAAGCTTTAGTTACAGTAATTCCATGTCAGGAGTCACCAGGCGGATCTCCTCAACCAGTCTCTGAGTCCCGACCCATTCAAACAAAACAAGAACTGCATGGGAAGACCACGTTTCGGAGAGGCAACTGGTGTCACAGACCCCCAGTCGGTTCAGGTTCATGTAATTGGTCTAGCACTATGACGCGTGATTTCCACTTGCACTAGTTGTGGCCAACTCTTTGGATCCCGAGGGCTGGGACCAAACGGAGGGCTCACGGGCGACCACCGGAGACGCTGCGGAAGCCCTCCGGTGCCAGGCGGCTTTGGAAGTGCGTGCCGAGATTCGATCCGCCACAGGCGCGCGGAACGCGGTGGGGAGTGAAAGGAGTGTTTTCCTTGGGACGAGCAAAACCTTCAGCTTCGAAGCAACAAGCATCGGTGTACTGTGTTTTCTTTTCCACGGAATACTTTTTCCTGAAGCAACTCCAAACAGCAAAACCAAGCAGATGGCTCAAACTGTTGCTGTTTGGCCTGTTTGGCCTCCCGCTCAGGTGCCGTTCTTAAGGAGATCGGTGCCTTTGTTGGGAGCCCGGAGATCAAGGCGCTCGTCACTCGTCGACGAGTGCTGGCCGACTGGACATGCTGGCCGACTCTGTACCCGTCGGGACACAGATGGACACCAACTGTGGGGACACTAGACACACACTAGACACCGTTTTGATGCGACTTGGGGTGAACTCAGGGGAGCTTGTGGTAATTGGAAGTTGGTAATTGGTGTGCGTTTGGGACTCATGGACTGATGAGGTGGAGGCTTTTTTGAAGGGTGCTCACAGCTTGAGCCTCTGCTAGTGTACACATCATGATCATCATGGAAAATTCAGGTGAGCTACAAAAACACGCCGGCCTTTGCCTAGCCCGGGCATCACTTCGTCTCCCCAGCCTTGGCATCGCCGCATCGCGATGCCGTGTTTTTAAGTGGAAACATTGTAACATGTGACGATACAGTAGAACATTCAGCTTTGGAGGTCAGATTGAGAAAACATGGGAAAACGATCAAGTAGCAGATTAGTAGATTGCACTCCCTGTGAAGCTTGGTGTGTTGTTGTCTTGGGCGATCTTAATCCGTGTTCGCTGGCGGTAGCAGACCTGGCTCTGCACAACCCCCTGATGAATCAAAGAAGGAAGAATGTACCCAGAGTGCATTGCAACATGTCCAAAAGCGCGCATTCTTTTACTTCTGGCGGCTAAGAAGGCAGTCTGGTTTAAAGAAGAAGGCGTTGTGGGGAATGCCTCATCTCAGTCCCTCAGTTCCTCAGCCCCTCAGCCTGAACCGGACTGGCACCGCCGCCCCGCGGAGAGGCGCTGTCTCCGGACCTGGTGCAGGCTCTGGCGGAGCCCACGAATCAGAAGCACACGCAGGCGCGGGAGTTGCCCCGCGGGCGTTGACGGCCGAGAGCCGACGTCTCGGCAGCCGAGAATGGGTTGGTCGGAAAGGTTGGTCTTGACGAGACGCGGTGACGAGGTCGTTGGGAGCAGGTTCTGAGTACCGCAGCTTCAGGCTTTTTCAAATTTTTCAAGGATGGTGCGTGGGGAGGGTCTGGTCTTCACATCGCAGGGTCTTGGTGGCTTCTTGTTCTGGAAGGTCGCTGTGATGGAAGTGAGAGTCCCATTGCTCCCTTGGTTCCTCAAGTTCACTGACCCGCATTTCGATGGAGATTCCATTGGGCAACTTCGCTCGAGGGAGTCCTGGCCAAGATGGGCAATGCGACCTTCAAGTCCATGATCGACGAAGTGCCTTGGAGGTTCTGGCAGTTCGCGACTTTGGTGTCAGAACACGAGCCGACCGTCAAATTCTGTCAAAGCAGAAGGAGGGAAGTGGGTTTGTCGACACCGACACTCCTTTGACGCGGTTTTGATCCTTTTTTTTGGGATGTAACTAGTAACTAGTATATCTTCTTGCTGCTAGTAGTAATGCCCTTGTTACTAGTAGCTTCTTGAAGGTCTTCCTGATTTTCCTACGCGGACGCTCGAGACGAATGCCACCGGCTCTTTGGACGAATGCGCGGGACGTCGCCGGGGTCGCCCCGAGGCCTCTCTGGCATTGCTGTTGCCCATCGTCATGCGAGGGCTGAAGGCACGAGATGTGGGGATGGGTGGAAGGCGCTGGTGATTTTTGGGAAGCATGAGCAGACAGGATCAGAGATAATGATATGACCGGTCGCTATAGTGAAATGACCTGCATGGTCACGAATAGTCTCAGATCTCCGCTTGCTTTGAGCACTGCAAAGAACTAGCAGGACCGCGAAGCCATGAGCAAGAAGTGGTCGGCACAGATTTTTGGCTCCGCCGCGCTTTTGGCTGCTTGGACCGCGACAGAGGGTGGGGTCGGAGGTAAAGGTAGAGGAGTTTTACAAAGATGTCATGACATATGGGGTGTCTTGTCCTCTTCTTCTCAGGTTTCAGGAACTCCATTGCTCGTTCGGTGCACTGTTTTGGATCGTTTGGCAGCCAGACTTGGAGAGTCATTCCGTGCTCCGAGCCAGACTTCGACGAAAGACACCATCGACACCATCCACCAAAAGCAGTCATTTGAGATGGAGCCATCTGGAAACATCTGCGGACACCATTTTCGGGGTTTCTGCCACCTACCCTGACCATGACATGGAGTACTCCCATATCCTGCCATATCCTTTAATCTTGGGATCCGAGGTTCGAGATGTCGACTTCTTAAAGCAACTCGGAGGGATGGCAATGACCCTCTGTGATTCAGGTCACATTTCACAGGGCCAAGCGGGCCCCTGTGAAGGAACATGCCGAACATGCCCTATGCCCGGCCCTAATATGTACATGGTCCTACTCTAGTGGATGGTCGTTTGAAGAGACGTAGAGAAAGCAGACGAGATTGTCCTCCACAGTTCCAGGGGCTCGACGGCAGAACATTTATATAATGGCCCTAGCCGTTCCAACGTTCAATGTTTTGAACGCAGGGGCTTGACGGAAGATTTTGGGTAGATCTGAGGAAGTTCGACGCATGGGCCGTGCTGCTGAGCTGGATTCTCCACTCTTCCATCTCAGAATACATGGTAGTAGTGAAGGGAAGGACATGGAGATTCCCACATTCTTAGGTTTTGGAAGATCTTCCACATGGAACACTTTTCTTTGTCGAGAGTGAAGCTCGGTCAAGCTTTGGGTCGACACCGGTACAAGCGCATACCTCAAAGCGAGTTGGTGGTTTCAGCCCTGAAGAGGCTGGCCCTCTGTTCAATCACGATCAAGGCTGCCATAGTCAAGTGTGGCTACTGGCCACAAGCTAGTTGTTGGGATCGATGGACACAGCATTGGCCAGCTTCCCAAGAAAAGATACAGCCAAAACACAGGACTCCGTGCATCACGTCATTTTTAATTGTTTTTCCCGTTCAAATGCGTTGGTTTTGTAAAAGGGCAATCGAATCGATGACCCAGGCCATACCTGAAGACCGCCCTGCCACTTCTTCAGGCATTTCTGCCGGGCTTGGGAACGCTCCGGGGGTTTGCTTTGAGACAAACTGACAACGCCCGCTTGGGCCCGGTTTGGTAGCAGCCCTCTTGGGAAGAAAGCAGAACAAATCATGCACCACCCACCCAAAAGGGCCTCCGCCAGATGTTGGGTATTTGAGAACCTGGAAAGCCTTCGGGGGAATGTTGTCTTTCTTCGAAGAGACCGTCGACCGACTCATTGCGCCCAAGAAAGGCGGCTCTCAACGACTCGGTGCCGGAGGTTCGCCGAGAGGCAGCGAAGGCGCGGAGGTGATGAGGTTGGCAGAGGTTGGGAGAAGGTCGGAGAAGGGATAGCATGATACAAGAAGCACAAGAACTATATATATATTGCGGAGTGTCCGCCCCAACCGCGGGGCGCCGAGCGGGCTCTTCTTTCCTCAAGCCGAAGGTCCCTCCGGGGTCACGACATGTCACGGGTGGACAAAATGACTGGTCTCAAATCTTCAAATTCCAAAAATGGCTCTTACGGGTACATTCTCCGCCTTCATAATAATCTTTGGATGTAGGAGCACATGAAGCTATGCAGCCATCTCATGTCCAGCTCAAATCGTCGGCAGTTCAACTCTTGAACTTCCGTGGGATCGTGCTGTCTGGGAATCGTTCAGTCGACCCCTCAGCCAACTCCGTGTAAGCCAGCAAGTAGGCAATGAGGTCCTTGATGGGTGGCGACATGTTGGTGCGGTCTTTCTGCGCCATGAGCCATCGACTGTAGTTCACCAAATCCGTCTCAGGTGAACTTGCAAGGTCTTCATAGCTGAGGTTCTGCTTAGACAGCTTTCCTGAAGTGATCAAGGTCTTACCCCAATGGTCCATCGAGGTGATGCCCTTGGGGAGAGGAATCGATCCCTGGTCCTGGGAGCTCATCTTCACGATCGGCCTCTGGGAATGCACATGTGGGGCCTGACTCGAGTCAGCGGTCAGGCGACGCTTGGACGAGTCATTCATGGCACCACTGTCCAGGCTGTATCCAGCAGAGGGCACAAACTCAAATTCACTGGTTTCGTGCTCCATCAAAGCGTTCAGCAACAGATGGACCGAACCTTCTTCCTTCACCTTAGTCAAGAGCTCCTTAGCCACTGTGGACAACTGAGCTGGAGCACCGGCCATGTCTAGGTCGGGAGGAAACTGCAAAACACAACACCCGGTCTAGTCGTGAGACGGCGTGATACGAACACTGAAATTCTGGATGCAAAATGGCCACAGACACAACCTGCTGCATTCTAAGGTCGAAGCCGGCAAAAAGAACATTGATTCCCTTCACTGATCACAGTGACTTCCCAAACAATCAATGCGAACTCTAAACCCCAAAAATGCAGATCACTCATGATCTGTCTCTTCCCCTATCCGGCTTGGAGGCGACGGAGCGGCACAGTTTGCCTGAAGATTCTTACGAAACTCCTTTTCTCGTGCTTGATGCTTCAATACAGTTTCTTCAGGCGAGATTTGATATGAAGATCGCTTCATACAAGATCTAAGCAAGTCTATTGGATCTCCATCGTTTTTGGTGAGTGCATCAGCGAGCATTCGATTTGTGGGTACCCACCGCACAAAAGCATTCATGGCCCTACAGCTCTCTCGGATTATTACCACATCTATACTGGTTCGGCGGTCATCGATTGATGTGGGGGCAGAAGGAGAATGCAAGTGATCGTACAGGCTCTTGCAATCTGTCACGATGATCGGTCGGCGTCTTTTCAGCACGTCTCGACAGGATCGCATTGTCAGCGGGCCGTCAAAAATCTCAGCCAACATCAAAAGTAGCCATTCAGTGGTCCCAGTGGCCGTGGCAAGTGCTTGACTCTCGGCTGACATGGTACTGCTCACTGCTCTAGGGAGTTTATAACTCTTCCATGATGCTGGACACCAGGTTGATTCCAATCCGTCTTGCAGGGATGCGTGAGTGAATCCAATGATATATCCAGCCTGAGTATGATTTCCCCTATTAGCAAATGCTGCATCACTGTGGCATACCAGTGTCAGTTGGTCTGGGTCAATTGATTTGAACACAACTCCCAACTCACTATGCTGTTTAGCTCTTCTGATCGCCTGATTTGCCATCCGAAAGTCTTCGATCGTCGGCTTTGGAAAGGCCTGTTGGGACAGACTAGTCTGGACGCTGATGTCCGGGCGTGACTGAGATGACAACCATCCGAGACTGCCATTCACGGCACGCAGCACTTTGACTTGACTGTCGGTCAAAGGATCACCTGGTGCACTATTCTTTGGCACATTGATTGATCGCATCTTGTCGGCAAAAGCGTTCATGTCCATTCGAATTGCCCCATCTTTGGTTTGGGAGTACCAGGCACCACAAAACTCACCTGTGCTTATTCGCAATTTTCTATATGGGAATCTAGTACGAAGTTTCTTGATTGAGGCCTCGAAAACCGGTCCATGTCCACCTACTGCTGTATCATCCACGTGCACGCCCATGATCCCCACCAAGGCTCCTGCTTCATCTCGAAGCGTGAACAGGCACGGGTCTAGAACACTCTGATACCAGTTCAACCCCTTTACATACGAACTAAATTCTTTGAACCAGGACGCCGGAGCGTCGTTCTGTCCGTAGATATTTCCGAGCACTTCTATCACTGCTGATTCAGGAAGGCCGGGGATGCCACCAGGTGGTTGGCGTGCGTAGAGTGGGCGAAACGCATCGTTCAGTGGACCTGCCTCTAGGAACGCGCCTTTTATATCGCCTAACTGAAGTACCCAGCCCTTTGATGCAATCGTCTGAAACAAACACATCCGGCCTAGTTGACTTAAGGTAGGGGACTTCAACAGGCCCTGTTCGGCCTTCTGAGACAAATCCGGGTCCAAGTGCCCCTGTAGACACCATCTGCCCTTTACCGTGAATGTGGTGCTGTCATTTGGGTCCAAATCCATACCTTCTTCGAGCGGCTTTCGAGTCAACACGAATCTACTCCCTATGAAACGATGGTCTTCCTCTTTTCGAATGCGATCGGCTTTTGCTCCATAGTGGATCTTTACCGAATTAGGCTTGGACAGAATCGTTTCCCATTCCACACGTTTGCCTAGTTGGACCTTTTCCTGAATGTCGGGAGGATTGTTGCTGTGGTGCAGTTCCTTGCTCATTTTCTTTTTGAGATATTCTGCCATCAGGCAATCCCACGACACACTTTGTGCTTGGAGGAGGAAATCAACATCTTCAACACTCAACACTTCTGCCATGCGAGGCCTCGACGACACTGGTTCATCGGCGGACGGAGATGCCGGTCTTTTGTTTTGTGACATACATGCATCTTCAACAAGTTGGGGTACTATCTCCTTCATGATGTCAACAAAATCTGTTTGCTTCAAGGCAGGAGGCCGCCACAGTGCCATTGGTCCATCCTTCCCTTCGATTCGGCGGCGAATGGGACCATAGGACGACGGTGCCGCAGTTTCGGCGGAACTTGGAGTGTCAGAAGTCTCCTCTACTGGTGTCGGAGATTTCATCTCTGTCATTTCTTGATCACCCTTCACTTGCTCTTCTTGAGAGTCTTCTGGCACAGCTGAAGTGGACATCGGCTCAGGCACGAGTGGTGCATTCACTTGAGACGGCGCTACCACAGTGCTTGACTCCGGCTCGGTACGAATATCGACAGCTGGCTCGACTGGTCCTTCTTGTGGGGGATAAGATTGGGGCAACAGGTCTATATACTGTTTACTTCGGAGGTTACCACTATCAATCAAATCCTTGATACCTAACAATTCAGCTTGGGGCGATGCAAGCAGGGTTTTCTCCTCATTAGTAGCCAGACGGAGTTGCTCTGGAGCGCATCTCAGCACTTGTCGTCGATGAATGATGACGACATTGCGACCTACTCGACCGAGAACGATGGCGACTCCATACCACTGACCCCCTTGTTGGAGCTGACCCTGAACCCACTTTTGGTTTCGCCAATAGGCTACCATATCACCCGGATTGAAAGTCATTTCCACTCGGGGACGTGCCAGCAGAGCCACCCGCAGGGCTCGATCGTCTTGCATCTGAACCAATGCCGTACGAGCAGCTGTACGAATAGCTTGAGCTCTGGCAATTGATGCTTCTGTCAGGGAAGCTGTTGCTGGGATGACCTGGAGAGGTTCATTCAGCAAGTCCTGAGGAATATGTGGATTGCGACCAAACACGAATTGGTATGGTGAAAAACCATGTACCTGCAACTGTTGGTTCTTGATGTGTGCATGCACTACACATTCTAACCATTCCTCTTTGGATGATGGAGAAAATTCGTCAATCAACTTCTCTAGAACGCGGTTGAACCAGCCTCCATGAGTTTCACACTTTCCCAATTGCCAGTGGGCTCCAGCAGCAATCGGACGGATCTGGACACCGTCCAGCTCGGCAGGCACTACCATCGGATCTCCCAGGTTTGTTCTGGCAGGGTCCAAAACGATCTCTTTGGGAACACCAGCCCACGAAATCCAACTGTCGGTGAACAACTTCCTCAAAACACTTGCAGTTTCTGTTTCAAAGAAAGGAATCACCCGTTGAAAACTGCTGGCAGTATCGACAATGTTTAATGCCTTCACCTTTTGGTTAGGTAACCAACCTTTTAAGTGCTTAACATCGAGACCGACTTGACTGTTGAACTCTGTGATCCGATGAGGTTGCGCAGGCAGAGGCACCTTTGGTTTGAGCTGACTCCGGCACAAATCACACGAGAATTCCTTAGCCAAACGTATTGCTTGCTCACTGGCCTGTCCATGACGAAGAATTCTGACTAGATCGTGATTTGGTGGATGACCTAAGTTCCTATGAAGCTTATCCAAAACCGGAATCAGATCACTGTCAGAGCGGTCTCGGACCTGTCCAGCGGCTAGGATCTCTGTCCATGACGCATCGGGGACTTCTTCATTGATGACTTCTACATGAGCGATGCATTCACATGACGAGGTGGCCTTGGATCGATCTAGCTGAAACTGAGGTATCGTATTCAACACCGCTTGAACAAATTTCACGGGGTAGGCACCAGCAAATGTACTGATACGAGGAACACCAGGTGCACTTCCGGCGATCACATCATGACACTGATGCGTTCCAGTCTGGTCACATGTGAGACCCAGGCTGGACATGTCTTCATGAGAGACCAACAAACGGGCGCTCTTACGGATGTACCGGTCACTCTCAGGCAATTGAAGACCATACCTGCACATGTGAAGCTTCACTGTGTGAAAACGTCGGCAGAGTCCTTCTACCTCAGGGTAGTGCCAGGTTCTTGCCCCTGTCGGATGCTCAAACACCACCCTACATCCCAACTGTACACCTATTCGGAACAGTTTGCAACACCATCGAATAAAGCTTCGGCTCTGTGCCTTAATGCGCAACACTGTGTGAGGATCCCATTTCTGACTATTCAACCAGAACCAACCACCTTCATGAGTACACGGAGGGCACAGAATGAGCAACGACGGCGTGTCGTTGATGAGATCATCTTCCACCTTTCTCCTGTGTTGAGCCAGGCGAAAATCCCAACCGTTCTTAAGATCATACGATCGAGCTCGGAAGTGATGTTTCTCTGCTTCAAGCGAAAAAACGTGGAGGTGAAAACACTTCCATCACAAGACATCGATCTTGAGGGTGTTGCTGAACGGCCAAACAAGTTTTGATTTGACTTTCCAACTGTCGACTCTCTCTCTCGGTCGGTTGCCACTCATTGGACACGGACATGGTTTCACCCAAAAATGAAAATTCGGTCCGAACATGAGCAACTCTTCGAGGAAGGCGGACGATGGTGCGATGTTGAGGGTTCCCTGGAATGATTGGGGAGTCGTCAAGAACTTGGTTGGTTTCACAATCAATCACTTTCCTACGAACCACTTGTTTCCATGCAGGCCCTGAACGAGATAACCACGGAGTTGCCATCACATCACTGTTCTCCTGAGTCCAAACAGCTAGCGGCTTCTCATCCGCCGCAGGCGATGCAGATGGCTCGAGAGTCAAGGGTGTGTCTGCTTCGGGCGCTTCCGGCGACCGGTTCGCTGGATGAGGATGAGGCTCAAGGGTCATGACTTCCGTGAAATCAGCTGCTAGAGTGTCTTTGGGGGAAAGCAAATCAACCACATACTGTCCTGCTCCATTTGTCTTGAGTGGAACAGATTGACCAAAAACATTGAGACAGTCCTTCTGAAAATCCAGTGAGGCGCCAAGGGACTTCAAGGCACTGCGACTCACCAGAAGAGGAGCGTCACCTTTGATCACTGCAGCTCTGATCACCCCTCGGCGATTAGCCAGGATGACGGGCATCTGAACGGAATAGTGGGAGGTCTCCACATCACCATTTCCGAACTTGAACTGGTGCACCTCGGAAATCTTGGAGGGCACTGTCCAGCCACGCTGAGACCACAGCTTTTCAAAGCTCTGTAAAGTTGAAGCTCCAACAACTGTCCTACCACAGCCCGAATCCAACACACCAAATCCTGGTGAGGAAACCAGCATGACCTCGTCAGGGGTCCACTCACCAGCAGCCTTGGAAAACCGCATACGTGCTTGCTCCAACAAGGTCGGGCGATTCATGATCGCTGCAATGAAATCCAGCTCTTCCACAACTGCAGCACCTGAAGGTTGAGAAGCTCCTGATGCAGGTGGACCTTTGTCGGATCCCTTGCTGCTGCCTTTGCGAGTGTCTTTTGCTCGACACTCACGGGCCCAATGACCTCGACGGCCACAGCGGTTGCAGGTAGTGTGTCGCTTCATCTCTTCCACTTCCACACGAAATGCTCTCTTCACGTCCTTGGACTTCTGGAATTGTCTTGTCTTTTGGAGACGGTTGAGCTCTTGTCGACGCTCTTTCCATGTGGCAGCCAACACTTCTGCCACCTCAGCTTCATTGTAGGCCTCCGTGTCAGCGGCCCAATCAGCGGACGATTGATGGTCTTCCAGCAGGCGCTCCACGTCTGAAAAATCTTCTTCCCAGGCATCGTGGGGCTCGGTCGGATCGTCCATGGTCTCTTCTGCCAATGCAACGGCTGTTCGCCGTTTTCCAACAACAAGGTCGGGGTAGCATGATCGGAGAGCTGCTGCAATGGATTCCCGTTTGAGATCTCCACGGGCACGCGAAATGACCACGGCCTTCTGCTCCTCGCTGAGGTTGGCCCTGTGCAACAAAAGCCAGCCCCTGGCTTCGTCAGGAAACTGAACTCCTGTTTTCCTGTGGCATCGGTCGAACAGCTCCGATGCTCTGGCAGCCCATTGTTTCATCGTTTCCCCCTCCTGGGAGCGAAGATTGAAAACCTCGCCCAGGATTTCACCAAGCTCATCGACCACTTCCAGCTGAGGAAACCTTTTGTCCAGCAACGACCACAGGACCTGGTCGCCATCCTTCTTCTGATAGTCGCCAGGATCCAGGTGTTCAACAGCCTCCAAGGCCTTGCCAGCCAACAACGTGTATATATAGGCTCCTCGAGCAGTTTCAGGTAAATTGTCCAGGGTCAAGAGCTTGTTCTTTACCCAAGTCTTCCATCTCTTGTATTCTCTTCCATCCTCATTCTCTCCGGAGAAGCGCAAAGGGGCGGCCTCCGAGGCCGCAGCAGACATGTCACGGGTGCGGATCCTGACCGCAGGATCACCAACAAGCCATGGCTTCGGAGCCCGGGCTTTCCGGGCTCCGCTACCAATTGCGGAGTGTCCGCCCCAACCGCGGGGCGCCGAGCGGGCTCTTCTTTCCTCAAGCCGAAGGTCCCTCCGGGGTCACGACATGTCACGGGTGGACAAAATGATATATATTAATATATATATATATATGTCAGGATCCTTGCTTTTAATCTTCACTTTGTGTTATTTTTTTGATGGTAGTTGTGCCCCTAAACAGGCACTACTGGTCGCTCGCAAGAATGACATGTGGCCAAGGCCTACGGAATCCTTGAGCAAGTGATGCCTGAGTATTCCAGGACGCACTGCCAGCGTGGGCCTTGGCCAAGCGGCTTGAACTCATGTGTGACTCAGTGACTGTAGTGACTGAGACAACCCCTTCATAGAAGATATCCTTTAAGTGTTGTTGGACACAACACCCCAATGACACCTCACCAAGTTTTTACATGTTTTTTTTCGCACGGCATGTGGCCCTCCAGCACTTCAGAGTTCTTCCCAGCACTCACCAAGTCCAATTCTTTCTCGCCCAGAGCACCATTCTCCCAGAGCACCAAAGTCTCCGCCTCACGGTACCCCTGCCACCCACACGCCTTGGACAGGCCTTTCCTTTTCGGGAAGCTCCGCGCGGGCGACGCCTCGGAGCAGATCGGTGCGGCCATGGGCCTGGCGGAGGTCTTCGTGCGTATGGAGAAGGCAGGAGGGACCGACGTCTCCCTTACCGCCGTCCGGTCGCTTGGTGTGTGTTTGGGAGTCGCAAAGTAGCCCCATTCGACTTTTGGTTTGGTGCGATGGGGGGACCTTTTTCGGGTATAATCTTTTTTGTCACGAAAGGTAGCCCTTTAGGGGATACCTTGAGTTTGTCTTGCGAAGCAAGTGTTGGGACGTCCGGGTCTAATAATTGATCATTCAATTCAAA